ATGCCTGTAATATCAGCTACTTATAGAAAATTGAGAGGATTGTTCTTTGCAGGCAAAGTTTTCCAGATTCCATCTCAACAAATAGCTGGTTGTGATGGTGTATGTGGTGCCCAGCTATGTGGGGAAGCACAAATAGGAGTATCACAGTCCAGGCCAGCCTGGGCATAAACCAAAAACCTACAACCAACTCCAAAAGGACTAGGGGTATGGCTCAAGTGGCAGAGTACATGCTTAGCAAGAGTCATGCCCTGAGTTAACTCCCAGTACCACACACAAAAAAAGGTCTATATTTACTTTTATTTCTGTCTTCCAAATATTTCTTAGGCTTTTGCCTTTTCATTCCACTGAGACTGCTGTATCTACGACCTGCATCTTACTGAATCCAATAGTTAGTGTCAGTCCTCATTGTACTTGAGCTCCCAGCAGCACCCAGTCCACTGACTCCTGCCTCTTCCTAGATGCACTCTCTTCACTGTCCAGGATGTCAGGCACCCCCCCTCATCCCTTTGTCTGGTGGCTTCTCCCACCTTCTTGATGGCAGAACTCAGGCCTTGTTTTCTCATCTTCTGTATTTAAATCATTCCATTAGTTGCATCACCCAATCCTACGAATCTGTATATTATCTGTATGCAGGAGATATATACACACACATCTCCAGCCCAGACCTCTCTAACAAACTTCAGAACTGAGCCTTATAAATGTCCCCACTTGAACATCTAGTAGATATTATAAAATTTACCATGTCCAAAACAGGCCTGATCTTTCTCCCCAGACTTGCTCCACCTGCAACCTTTCCCAGTCTCAACTGATGACAATCCCATCTTTCAAGTTCTTCAGACCTAAAAGCGTAAAGTCATTCTTCATCCTTCTATTTTTCTCAACCCCAACCCAACACCCAATGTCAGAAACTTTTGTTGACTCTTCTCAAAATAGAGTTTGAATCAAGTCATTTATCACCAAGTCCTCTGCTAGCATGTTTATCTGAGTCACCAAAATCTCTCACTTGGGGTACGTTAATGGCATCCTAAGTTATCCTTCTGTTCCTACCCTTGCCCTCCTACAGCCTACTCTCAACACAACAGCCTTTCTATCAGCTAAAGGCACTCATTTGCTCACAACCTTTCAAGGGTATCCCATTTCACTTAAAATAAAAACCAAAGTTCTTTAAATGGCCCACAAGGGCCTCTGAGGTCTGCAATCCCCACCTCATTATCTTCCCATCATCTCCCACCATCCTCCCTCCTCATTCTACTGGAGCCTCACTGGCTTCCTTGCTGCTTCTTGAGCACAGCAGGCATAGTCTCGCCGTGGTGCTTTTGCTATGACTTCTCCCTCTGAATTGAATGACTTTCTCCTCATCCACTTGGTGAACTCTCTCCTCTCCTTCAAACCTTGGTAGATTGCCATTTTCTAAGTAAGGTTACCTGATCACCCTATTTAAAATTGAAATGTACCTCAATTCTGAACTTGGGAAGTCCCTGTTATTCTTTCCTTTCCTTTTCATAGCACTACCAGTTCCAAAAATTCTATATTATTTACTTAGTTATTATAGTTACATAATATAAGTGGTAGAATATAAGCTCTTTGAAGCAGAGATCATTGTCTGATTGCCCACTACTGTATTCCAGGCACCCTGAACACCCACAGAAAATACATACTGAATAAATAAATGGATGAAAAGGAATAGAATAAATATTTTGAAAGAAAATAACAAGTCTTAGTAATTGCTTGGAAAACAAATAATGGAAATAAGCATTACTCAAAAATAATTGCAAAAGCAAAGAACTTAAATAGGCAGTTCTCCAAAAAAATTATACAAATAACCAGTAAGTACATGAAAAAAATGCTGAACATCATTATCAATTAGGGAAGTACAAATCAGTAATCACAATCAAAATACCACTTCATGCTCATTAGTATGTGTGGCTATAATAAAAAAACATGACAATAAGTTTTGGTAAGGATACAGAGAAATTGTTGACTCTCGTACATTGTTGATGAGAGGATAAAATGATAACAGCCCCTTTGGAAAAGAGTTTGACAGTTCTTTAAAAAAAATAAACATAGAATTAGCATTTGCCCTAGTAATTCTAGTTCTAGGTACATATTAAGAGAATTGAAAATATATATTCATATAAAAACTTGTGCTTGAATATTTTTAGTAACATTATAAATAATAGCCAAAAGTGGAAACAACCTAAATGCCCATCAACTGATGAACAGATAATCAAAATGTGGTTATATTCATAAAATGGAATATTATTCCACCATAAACAGGAATGAAGTAGTGACACATGCTACAACATGGATGAACCTTGAAAACATTATGCTAAGTAAAGAAAGTCAGACACAAAAAACATGTGTTGCATGACTATTTGTGTGACATGTGCACAATTGGAAAATCAACAGAGGCGAGAGTAGATTCATGGTTGTCAGGGGCTAGAGGGGGGAGTCATGGGGAGTTTTCTTAGAGTGATGAAAATATTTTAGAATTTAACAGGGTTGGTGATTGTATAACTTTGTGAATATAGTAACAAAAACTGACTAGTACACTTTTAAAGGATGAATTTTATAGTGTATGTATTGTAGCTCAATTTTTAAAAATCATAACAGGATTCTGAGCTGCTTCTCTATGGTTTACAGGTACAAGACCAGCAACCTAGGCTAGATTTACTACTGCAGAGGCCTAGATCTGTCTTTGAGTTTCATGGAAGTCCATCAATAAGGAAAACATTGTGGATTAAATACTTCTTACATGATGAAAGAAATGTGAAGTTAGAAGCCTTTTCTTAGGAGTAAACAAGAAAGAAATGGCAACATAAGTTCTCATATCAGAGATAATATATAAAGATGATTTCACTGTGGTTTCACCCAAGACACAGGAACATTCTTTGAAAGGATGTTTCTTCTATTGACCAACTCTAAAGGATTAGGACACAAAATCGAATTACAACTAATTCCATAAAGGAAATTTTGTCAAAATAGTAGAGCCCAGAAACACTGTTTCCAGATGATTTCACTTTATGTAGAGATAATTTGTGCAGCCAAGAGACATGAAGAGTCACATTTGCCTAAACTCACTTCCTCAAATACCAGATGTCTCAACCCAGCATTTGGCAAGCATTAGAGGGCAGTCTGAATTCTGATTTGTATTGTTGAATAAATAAATGTCCATATGTTTTTGATACTGGACATGTAGGCAGCAAAGTCAATATACTGTCAAGAGAACCCAGGGGCTTGATTTATCCCTTTGTCTAACTATAGAGCCATCATACTTTCAGCCTAGGGTGAACTCTGGAAACTTCTACAGATGTTTCAGATTCAACAAAGAACACTGAACTTCTCATGCAATAAGTACTTAACTGAGAGCCTAGCATTTGTGCTGTAGGACTTGGAGGGCATAAAAATTGTGTCATGAAAAAATCATAAGTTTGGATCATTTTAATCAACTCCCTCTACTACAGAAGCATTTCTACGGAATCCTTGAAAAAACGTAATTTTGGTGTAGAACTAAATTCTTAAAGAACTAGCTCCAAAATGCACCCACTCAAGTAGATGAATGACCTTTTTGGAGTAGGGTATGCTGTTTCCGAACACTACAATGCTGTTCTCTCTGTAGATTTACTCAATGAATGAGTGAACGAATTTATACTATCAAGATAGAATTAAAGTTGAATTTTATCCCATACACGTTACCCTAATAAAAACCCCAATATGTAAAAAAATTTAGAAGAAATATACTGTATATTTAAAACAAGTTTCCTTCTACTTGCCATCAAACAGTTATAGTCGTGGTGGCTTGTCAAAAGGACTTTGGGGTTGTAAAATCTTTGTAGTTCTGACTTTTCTTCCAAGCCCTCAATAAGGTTATATACAGTTGTGTAATCAAGTTTCTGTATTAAGAATTAGCCTTGGGTCTTCATGAAAATGAAGATCAAAATAAGCACATTCAAAGGGCTTTTCATTTATCTATGACAGCAATCGTATCCCATTTCATTAGATACAACAAGGAAATTATGAAAGTGGATAATAACTTAATGGATCTTGACAAATATAATTTTTCACTCTGGCAAAGTTTAATGTTCTTTATTAATGGATTAGCATCAGTTACTCAATTTTCCAAAGATGAAGGTTGTCACATGGAAGAAAATGGACGAAGATGCTAGAAGTGATACAATTCTTCAAACTGGAATAACAAAAAATGTGTTCCTAGTTACTATCCCATAACTGGCTCATTATTATAAAATTGTTTCAAGTTTGCTCAATGGGTCCTAGGAAATGTGATATATTCTGTTTTCTATTCTAGAATTTTTATAACTCCCTTATCTTTCCTCTTATTTCTTTATCTCCAAATCTCACATATACCTTTAGTAAAAGAAATTAATACAATTAATATAATGGTATGCATTCCCATATATATGCTAAGACCCTTTCTCAGCAGAACTGAGAAAGAAAACCTCACAAAATAACCAGTTTCTAGCATTCAAAGTATCTATTTCAGTCTGTTTAAATGAAAGCCAGAGTATGTGTTTTCATTCTACTAAAAAATAGTGAATTATTTCTGGATTTCTATTTCGTATATTACTTAGCATAAATAGAAATACCAGCTTTTAGTTCTATTTTTGACATATTAAAAATGTGTGCTGCTTGAAAACAAATTTTCTAAAACCTCTTGGGGGCAATTTGCAAGATTTTTCCATCCAGGCTCTCCCAAGGGCCGTCTTAGTGCTTTAATAAATAATAAAGTATTTCATTTCAGAAGTATTTAATATACAATTACTCATTTACTTTCAGAGGATTCATCAAAGTATGTTTTCAGCCCACATTCTTCAGGGCAGGTGCCTGTAATTAACTGAGGTCCTCACACCTGATTCATTTCTACAGCTTTGGAGGACTCTTGTTTGAGAGCACTAACTCACTGTGCATTCATAAGGATAATATTACTAAGTTCCATGCGGCCCTCTGAAAAATTCATCAGTGCTACAAACTACTGACCTTACCCTAAACCCATCTGCCTGCAGGCCAGCTGACTCAAGGTCTCCTGCCAGCCATCTGCACACACGTGGTGTTCTGTCGAAGATCTGTGAACAGTCAGGAATGAAGAGGAGTTCACATTTTTAGAGAGGGTCACTGGGGAAATAAAAGGTAGGAAACCTAATTAGAAACATTTCTTCTCATGAAACCAAATGATAACTTTGCATGCCTTTGCTTCAGATGCATATGTTCATTCTTTATTTTAGTTAAGAACCATTTGGTAAGTACCATGTGCATATCACTGCTCACAGTGTGATAGAAGACTAAAAAAATGAATTAAAAATGTACTATGTCCTCAAAGAACTGTAGACTCTAAGAATGAGACAGGCAGCTCTTGACTTTTCTTTCTGAGTTGGAAAATGGCCAAAAGCAGAGCCTACTGTCTTGAGTTTACCCAGGGGTTTGCATAATTAACTACAAGGAGTTAGTTGTAACTCCATTCATATCCCTTGGAGAAAGCATATAAGATTGCAAATATGTAAGGGTGACACCAATTTAGGATTGATGGAATATAGGCACTAACTCCTATTGTATAAAAGAGCAGCCTCTGTACTTAATCAGCCTCACGGATCTTTGTGGAACACTATGTAATTGATCACAACACACAGGGGAATTGTGATTTGGCCAGATGATAGGAAGGATTGAAGCAAGAACTGAGTGAGTGGGAGGAGTGATGAATGTGGAACCAGGTAACTCAAGATTACAAAGGGCCACATTGTGGGGGATGCCTTCAAGTCCTGCCCATGACAGGACCTAGATGGTTAGAGTCCCATTTGGAGGTGAAGCTGCCACATTGAGCAGATGGAGGGGCCCCTTTAATATCCTATTTCAGGAGGTATAAATGATCTAAGAATGGCAGAATATTGATCATTATTGAGGCTGGGTGATAACAGTGTTTTAAAATCCTGTTCCAGAAATCACAAGGTTTCAAAAACTCGAAACCAAAATTCTGTACATACAATACAGATATTTTCAAATAGAGAAGTAACTTGGGGGGCAATTTTCTGTGACTTGGAAATAACATTCATGAATCACCACTGTCAACTTTTATAACAGTAAAACAAAATAGATGAACTTGGTTAGCAAAATCCGTGAAGTAATTTAGGATTCATTTAGCGTAAATGGGTGACAGGCATGAGAGTGCAGGACAGATGGTAGAAACAAGCAGCTTACCACAGTCCCATTCATCTGAACTATCTGAGCAGTCTGCCTCCCCATCACACCACAGATCACGTGACACACACTCATGGTTGGCACATTCCAATTCATCATCTTGGCAAAATGCTGGTAGGGGGAATAAGAAGGGAGAAGGCTGAAAAGTGTAGGAAATAAACATGACTGTCACTAACACACATATTCTCATTTGCCAGCAGAAGCATGACAGGAGGAAAATATGTGGATGTAGAGGCTTCTAAATAGGTAACAAGGTAGAATAACAGAACTTATAGGGTCTTACATAACAGATGTCAACTCATCCAAATAGGACTGAAACAGAATTACTATCTCCAAATGCCTAATTTCTCAGTTTTATCAATCAGATTGAAAAAGAATGGTACCTATAGCAGCAGAAATACCAAGGGTTAGAGAAGAGGGTTAAAATCTGCATGAACAGAACAAGAGGAAAAGAGGACTGAAGCCATTATAAGAAGAAAACAAGTTGTGTGCACATAAATGGATTTGTTTATTTAAAAAGAACTCTACTATTAAATTATCCTCTGACTCACATATAATTCCCTTTTGGATTTTTTAAATTTTTTGTAAATCTTGACTTCATGCTTAGCATCCATTTCCTTTCTTCCTCCTTTTTTTTTTTTTTTAAAGGAAACCTGATTTTCTTCAGGACTCCACACCCACCATGCCCAGCTCCAGAGGAAGCTCCTGAGTAGTTTAAGCTAGGAATGACATTTTTCTGACTATACTAATTTTTTTCTGAGTACAATTATTAGTGCAGGAGTGAACATAATCCAAGATCAGGACTTCACCTATGGTTTGGTGGATTGTGCTTTGCAAGACAGTTTCTACCCAAACTGCTGATAGGCCATGTGCACCAGCCTGAGACCAAGGCAGACTAGAGAGAACAGTGTTGTCTTCTAATTAGTGCTCCCTGCATGGGCTCCTAATTGGAAGGCAGCCATTTGTAGGTTTTCTAATTTACCACAAAGGCTCTTGACTGACGGCTGTGACACTGCCCCAAGTTGACTGGAGTGAATTCGTCAGTGATGTTCTAGTAGCAAAATTCATCCTTCCTACAGGATGTAATCAAGGAAGTTTGGCAGCGCAGGTGCCCCTGGCTTTTGACCAACCAGTCTGGGGTCAAGCTAAACAGAAAGAATCACAAAGTGCTTGAATTTTCACAAATGGCCTCAAGACATCACCAGACATGTGTGATACACATGACAATATTAAAAAAATAAATGTCTTCATTGTTTGTCAGTTTGGGTTGGGCTTTCTGTTACTTGAAAGTACAAATATCTCAAAAGACATCCTTTTATCCCGGTTGTAAAGATAATAGCTATTTGTTTCAATATAAAAAGACTTAAAAAGCACAAAAGTGTACTAATCCTACCACCCAGAGATTATAATTGTGAACATTTTTATGATCACCTACCATTTTTCTATATGGAGTCTATGTACTTCTAAAGCCCAGGCCAATAGTGCACATAGCATAGTTAATAGTGTGTCCAAAAGCTCATTTGTTAAAGGTTTGGTCCCCAGCCTGAGGTGCTATTAAGAAGGAACTTAGTGGGAGATCGTCCATTACTGTGGGTGTGCTCCTAAGGGAGATATTAGGACCCCAGCCCCTTCCTCTTCCTCTCTTTTTGCACCCACCCATAGAGTAAATGGGCCTTTCTGCTTTGTGCAACCTGCCATGATGTGCTGCCTTGCCACAGACCCAAGAGCAATGGACCCACCCAATCATGGACTGAAACCTCCAAAACTGTGATCCAAAATAAACCTTTCCTCTTTTTGTGTTTTGTTACAGTAACAGAACACTTACTAACACATCAACAAAAGATATATAATGAACCCGGGAGAAATTACTCCTCTCTAGTTAGAGATAAGTGTTTGAATATTATTTCATCTTATGGTTGTATTTTATGACCCCCCATTTTTGAATATTTGGAGATGTTTTAATATTTCTATCTTATAAATAATGTTAGAACAATATCATGTGCATACATTGTACACATCTTTGATTGTCTTCTTAGCATATGTCAGGTAGAGGTTTGATCAAAGGGTCTGAATAAACTAAAAGCTTTTGAAACATATTTCCAAATTTCTAGTTTGTAATGAGGTAATTGGTATTTAAAATAAAAACATTAGCCAGGCACAGCGACTCACAGCTATAATCCCGGCTACTCTAAAGGCAGAGGTTGGGAGGATCACGGTTCAAAGTCAGCCCGAGTGAAGAGATAGCAAGATCCCATCTCAACCGATAAACTGGACAGAATGGTACATGTCTGTCATCCCAGCTACATGGGAGGTGTAAATAAAATCATGGTCAATGTCCTTGGCACAACCTACAAGACCCTATCCGAAAAGTAATAAAGTAAAATGGCTGTTGGAGTGGCTCAAGTGGTAGAGCACCAGCCTAGTAAGCAAGAGGTCCTGAGTTCAAGCCTCAGTACCACCAAAGTAAATAAATAAATAAGTAAATAAATACATTGTGTTGAAACTGTCAGGTAAGCACTTACAGCAGTTTTTCTCATCCATGTTATCAGGACAGTCTGGGAACCCATCACAGATCACTGTGTGCTTCAGACATTGCTTATTGGATGGACATTCCCAAAGTTCTCTCTCTTTACAACCTGGAGACAAAAGAAAGGATTATTTGCAATAAATGCACAGTTGAAAATGAGGATGAGATTTGACTAAACAATGTAGAAAACTTATAACATAGAAGTACAATTTCTTTTTATCTTAAAGCATTTTGATTCCTGTATATACCATGAATAATGTAATTTTGAAAGTGCAAATACCCAATCATCTCCATCCCATGCTATAAATTGTACAGTTCTCTCTATTTTAACATCAAAATCAACATCTGGGAAATGCGAAAAATTGGAAAGCAACTACACACCAACAGTCATCTTTAGCTGTTCCTTTTGCTTTCTGAGTCAATTTGTCAGCATGTAAGATTTACCTACACAATGAATTATACTTTTAAGCAAATATGACAAAACCTAGAGATCTTATGCATATGATTTTAAAATGTAACTTCCATCTACAAACTAAGAGACTATCTGTATGTTTAGCAACAGAGTCTCCTCTTGTGCTGAGACCCCACAAAACTAGTTTAAGAGCCAGGTGCAAAAAGCCATTACTTTATGGTGGTCAGAGACCTAAAGTTGGAATTGCAATGAGTTTATATGAGAAATGAACATAATTTAGTCAAGATGAGGACTCTAAGTCCATAACCTGAACTGTAATTTGTCTATGCAGTAGCAAGCACTTACACTGGACTTAATAAATGCCATTTGACGCATTTATTATAAAATCATTTGATGATTTTGTATATCTGCTAAGAGTGATAGCATAAATCACTCTACTAAAACATGCCAAGAGTCTAATGCATTCTAGTCACTCCACTCAGACCCATGGCCTTCACCTGGCTATGAGGGGCACGAAAGAAGAGTCCACTTGGCATTGAACTCGAGTATACTTCACCCTCCTACTTAAAACAGTGGTTTGCATGCAGCAGGCCCTCCACAAAAGTGTATTTCAAATGGAATTTCACTTCATGTGAGAAACAAAAAGTCCCTTGCTCCCAGGAAAAGATAGTTTATTTTAAGGCGAGTGAAATACAAAGCAGTGATCAAATAAGGAGTCTCATTGAAAATGTTATTTCTCATCTGACATAGTACAAATAACTCAGAGAAACTCTGTAGATGATTGACTCAGATTTCTGGGAATCTATTTATGAGAATAAAAAAATCTCATTTTTTAAATTCTCGTTCAAAAGCATTATTGAAATAAGTCTCTAGAACAGAAATTTTTCCTGAACTAAAATTAGATGAAGAGATTTTTAGCATGAAATGACATAAAAAATAAATCTCGAGGTTCCTTCATTGGCCATTCATCCAGAGTGGTATTAGGCCCAGAGATGTCAGTTCCAGGAACTCATGGACATATTATTTGAAGCCCTCGGCTGGCAGAAGATGCAGACATTATCTGCAATGTTCTGACAATAATGTTCTTTGGAGATTTGAGGAAGCTGAAATTGGCCTCTGTGGCCTAGCCCCTTCCAAATGGCAACATTCACTCGTTCAGGAAAAGAGCAAAGCAAATTGAAAAGGAGGTCTAACATCTCACAGTGCAGTTCTGCTCTAAGAAGATCTTGTCTGCTTCTCAGGACAAAACACATGAAATGCAAACAGAGGTCAGAAGGAAGCTGCATGAGTCATAGTAGTCTTCCTAAGAATACAAAGAGTTTGAACATTTAGAAAGAGCTGGTAAAAGAGTTTAGCAAAATAGATCTTCTGGGGCACAAGGTCTTCCACACTGTATCCTCATAAATAATAATGATGATGATAGTAAGAGATAACATTTATTTTCCACTATACACCCACATTCTAGATAATAGTTTTAATTTTTATAGCAATATCACAATGTCCGTATTCTGATTACTATTTTCTGTGAGAACACCAAGAACTAAGGAAATTAAACAGACCACTCCAAAGCACAGTCTTATGGAGAACAGTCCAGATGGGATCCAGGTACCAGGTTTAGGTTTCAGTGCTCTCTGTAAAATGAGACAAGAGTAGGCACAGGGTGGGAGCAAAGGAAGCAAGGCTTTATAGTCAGACCACTGACTTGCAATCCTAGATCCAAATTTCACTAGCTTTGTGAAAGCTTTCAGTACGTCACTCAACTTCTCTGAACCCCAGTTTTGATATCTTTAAAACAGTAATAGTACTGCCTGCTACATATGATTTCTATAAGCATTCAATAAGTATTTTATAAGCATTCATTTACACCTTTGTACTTTGTCTTTTCTCATAAGAGATGGCCAAATACCTCCTTGGGAAGAATGATAGTATAAAAGAAGTAAGATGAAAAGGTCAGGACATTAGTCACCTGGAAGACAATATTATTTTATGAAGAAACCACTCTCTCTGTCCAGTGACATTTTGGTGTGATAATGTTTTAAATGTATATTCAGAAAAGTGCACAACTCCTTAAAAACAGGTATGGATGAGATGCGATGTTTCACGTAGCTAAAGGTTATAAAACCAAATAACTGTTGATGTCAGAATAACAACCGCTCGGCACTGGTCCACTAAGGGAGGACAATGCCACACAAGTGATCAACTCACACAGAACTTTCCCAGCTTGAGCATTAAGTGTCCCTGGACCCAAGAACCCCCTTTCGATTCCAAGCAAATTGGGATGGCTGGTTATCCTAAGTTGGCTCAGCATTCTGCTGTTTCTTTGCCTACTCTGTCTCTCAATATTGCAAATAATCTATGAAATCAGCAGTCCTGCCAGACGCAGGCCCTGCTTGAATGCCAGTCCCTTGTTTTCAATCAAAATAAGTTGTCATTGCAAGTACAAACAGAAAATAACTTTTGTGTTAGCTTTTTCATTGCTGTGACAAAATACCTGACATAAACAACTTAAGAGAAGTAAAAATTTATTTTGGCTCACAGAGATTACAGTCCATGGCCAGCTCCATTGCTTTCAGGATTGTGGCAAGGGAAAAGGATATGGTGGAGGAAAGAGCTACTGATTTCATGACAGCCAAGAAATACAGAGAGAGGGAGAAAGAGAAAGAGAGACCCAGGACAAGACAGAGCCCCAAAGGATATGCCACTATTGATCTATTGACCTTCTTCCTCTAAGTAAGCCCCACCTTAAAAGTATCTATCACCTCCCCAAAATATCATCAAATTATGAATCCACCAGTGGATCAATCCATTGACTGGGTCAGAGCACTCTTAATCCAAACACCTCTCAATGATTGGATCCATTAGCTGGGGACCAAGACCTCAACACATGAAACTTTGAGTGGGGGAAGGACTTTATATACAAACAATAACAACTTTAAAGCAGATGCTTCTTGTTCTGTAAGAACCATAGCTGTGCAAACTTAGGATAAATAGGTCAACTCTTCACTTAATGAAATTTAAAAAAAATCTCACCCTTCAGGCCAGAACTGCTCATAAGATGAAAGGAAGCAAGGTGATTATGGATTCTTGAGCTGGAAGATGGTGGGACAGTTCAGATCCAGCCATCCTAGGCCAGAATCTGCCCCGGGAAGGAGCTGTGGATCACAGGAGCTGTAGCATCCAGAGCTCAGCCTTTTGATAGTATGCATCAACCTGAGCAATGCATGGCTACAGAGATCTGCCCCGGTGCCTGCTATAGCAGGTAGCATAGAGGATCTGCTTCCCTGCGGGGCTTTGGGCCTGACCATAAGGGCAGTGGCACCAGCACAGATCCTACCACTATGATCTCTAGCTATAAAGTCTCAGCAGCCTTCCAATTCCTGCGTCACCTCTGCTTCATGTCCCCTTCATCACATGGAAGCTAGTGCCCTGTGAAACAGGCAAGATGAGGGAATGGGAAGGGCTTTAACTGCAGGCTGGGGACCCTCCATGGCTGAAATCCTGGAGATGGGAACATTAACCCAAATAAGCACTGTCTCCAGGACAAGACACTATCCTGATACTGTGTTTACTATGAGAGTTTGGGATTTTGCCCAACCATACTCTGTCCACAACATGCCAGTCCACTCCCCACTGCCATAAACAGTGATCAGAAACAAGACCAGCTGGATAGGACTCCTTCCCTAAGGGAGATCCCTAATTACTTCCTGGATTTTTCTAGCACTATGGTAGGTGGGCTCTGGGTCATTGTCTTCTGAAGGTCAAATAGGATATGTTATCAGCATTCCAAGTTGTAAGGGGTAAAGGAAACATTCTCTGACATTTAAAAGTGAGGTCTAGAGAAGTTTAAAAAATGGCAATAAGTCACACTGCTTCTAATTGCTAAGTCAGGATTTAAATCCCAGTCTAAATCTATACACAACATTTCAGGCTGCCTGTCCAAGACACCACATGAGACATGAGATGGTCAACCAAGTAGCAAAATACCAAAGGATATTCCTTTAACATGGGAAATTAAACACTACTGAGTGGTCAGATACCAATCGTTAAGATTCATCCTGAAAGCACGTTTTTGGGGGTTGTCACACATATAGACACAGTGACTTTCCCTCTTCTGCTAACCACAGAGCAAAGAGTGGTCTCTGCCACAAACAAAGAGACATAAGGGATGGAGACTGGCTATTTGGAGACCTAAGAAAGCCAGTTAAGCCCTCCTATGTGACAAATTATACAAATGCTATTAAAGAGTCTAAAAAGATTTTTAAAAGTCTTTGTAAAACTTTTGAAGTCAAGCTGGAAAACCCACAGGTATCACAGTCAGAGCTTTGAGTACATCCCATGGGGATTTTGACTTTCAAATGGCTCAGGCTATATTTAAAGGTTTTATTTTATTTGAGCCTAAGAAGAGACTAAAGATAGTTGACAGAAATGATTTTTAATTTGAAGATAAATACAAAGGCACTGAATGGAACTCAACAATTTATGTCATCTTTCTCCTAGTACCAAGGTGAGTACCCTTTACTTAGACTAAGATCAATTAGTATTCATGTAATGAAAGATTTTACTTTGACATCAGATTTTAAAAAAAAACCAAAAACTTATGTCAGCTATATTCTCATTTAATCACCCCACTGAGAAGATTCACTGCTTGCATCAGAGTGTAGGTACCACCTGCTCGTGTAGCTCACCAGACTGTGGGCATAAAACCTAGCAAGAGTAAACCTCAGCATCACACACTCAAACCAATAATCCCATTACTGTTTTCCCGAAGTTTCCCTCTGTAGTGTCATTCCTGTTCATTTCTTTGTCCAAATCTTTGCCTGTTCTCCAATGGTTGGGTGTCAATGCTTGGAAACTGTTAGGTTGAAAATTAACTCATTTTATCAAGCTGCCAGCTTTACAAACAGTTCCCATCTATAGAGTGTATGTTTAATTACTGACAAACCATCAACCTGTAAGACAAGGGACCACTCTGTACTGACACAATGCTGACTCTGCTAATCCCTGCTCTGTTTCTAAGGCTTCCTTCCTGTGAGTCAATTCTGCAATGATGCCCCCCAGCTGCATAGTTCTTCAAACAGTTGTTGAAAATATTTCTAATACTGACAACCTTTTCTGCTCTTGTTTATATTAGCAATTACAAAATCAAAACAGCTTCAACAACAATTTACCATGAGAGGAGGAGACATTTAAGAACAATATTGCCCATTGCTAAATTCTCACACATGTGTTGTAAGTGTTTTTATAAATTAAGTGCTTTGGCAACCATGTTTTCCAGCTATAAAAATACAAAGTAAAATGAATTTGTAACACATCAATTATTTTACAACTGAAGTAAAGAAGCATTGTTTTAATGAGAAAATCCCACAGCACTGTTGAAAGTTTGAGGGAGCTCCAGACTCGTGACTGAATAGCTAATCATTACATTATCCAGCAAAGCTCAAGCATTTAAGGGTCTTCAATGTACAATGGATAGAAGAAATCAGGAAGATATCAAACTCAGGGTGCAACCAAGCTTTGCTAGAGTCAGTACTTGCATTACCAGGTAGTATGCCTATTGCACACGTGAAAACAGAGACAAATGGCAAAACAGAAACTGAATGACCTACTAATACACTCTGTTGGGCCCTGTCAACTCAACTTCCTCATGTGAATATAAGTGGTATGTCCTCTAGCACACTGGACACATCCATTCAAATACATGTGTATGTCCCAAAGGGGAACATGTATGTGGTTTCTATCATAAGTTGTTCTGGAAATCACATGAGAATTTTCTCATAAATTAGTATGGTTAGAAATTAATTTAACTCCAAATTTGCTCCTCTCTTACCAATTTTAATGTTTTTAACTAGAGCTGTCAATGTTGTCAATATTTTGAACATTAAATAGAGATTAGGCAATTTATCATTTTGGTATTCCCTTAATTGTGATTTAAAGTATTAATAAAAATTCATTAACTAGAAACCTGATATTTTAAGTAAGCTCCTATACTATGCTATAGTACTTTCAACTTTTTTGCATAATATAGGCCTAGAATATGGAACTTTTAGTGTTGGAAAGGCTGTATTTTAAAGTTAACTTTTGCACTCCCCAGATATTTAGCCCCCAGATGTAAATTTAGAAGTAGCCACCCCACCAGAGTATCACACAACTTCTCTGAACCCCTTTTGAAAAGATAATCCCTTTTGAATTGTATCTCAGAATACCAGAACCCCAAAAAAGTCATTAAATGAACATATCTAATAAATGTTCAAAAAACACTTGTACAAGTGATAATAAATGAATTTTTATTTACTTTTTATAGAATGATCACAAACAAATGAACAACAGGAAGTTCTCAAAATACTGCATGTTCCTCCATAGCAAAATTACCTCTGGCCATTGTACTATCATTCTGACAGTTATAATTTTCCAGAAGATGCACTTGTCCAAATTTATAGTAGTTGATAGAATTTCATTTGATTGCTCATGACATTTTGTCTAGACCAGAAGGGCAATGTCTACTACAGAAATTTCATTTTGGGGAGTAAGGCAATATTTCATACCTCAAAGGCCAAAAGAATGAAATGATCTCAAAAGATGTATTGCCTTATATGCTTCCAATAAATAAAGTGTCAATTTTATTTGGGGGCATGACAAGCTAAATAATCAAAACCAAGCTAGTCTTTGGATAGCCCTTCAATCATTTTGTTTTACTCCAAAATACTGTTTATTAAAAAGCATTGTCCATTTTCTATTCCCTGACACATTCTGAGTTTAGAGGAAACAAGGTTTGTAGGGGGAAAGAATGGAAATTAGCACTATTTAAATTATCATTGGCATTTCTGGCTTTCCCATTGGTGATTTTGGAGCTCAGTGCCAGAAGCATCAGAAAGAGTTTTGTCCTTTTTGACAGAGACAAAATAAGAGAAGACATGAAAATGAATCCCAATTAAGTTTGAATGCTGCTACCTGCACGCTGTCTTAGTATATGGAGATGCCTGTTTAAGCAATGCAGAATAACGTGCAGACACTATTATTCTGACCATAAAGCAGATAACTGATTTATAATTTAATACTAAAAATGCTTCCTTAGTTTCTCTACATTGAGGGCAACAAATGCTATCTAGTTTTTTGGGTGTCTTATCTATCCTCATACCTCCCTAGTGTGCTCCTGCTTTATGTGATCAAACTAATGCATATACTTTAAAGCGACAGAGGCCAATAAGAGAAAGGAACCAGGAACCAGAGAAAAGGTTAGTTTGAGAAGAATTAATTTAGAAGGTAACACACATGTACAGGAAACCATGCGAGTCAACTCCCTGTCCTATCTCAACTAGCAAAAACCCTTGGTCCTTCCTATTATTGCTTATACTCTCTCTTCAACAAAATTAGAGATAAGGGCAAAATAGTTTCTGCTTGGTAACGAGGGGGTAGGGGGGAGAGAGAGGGGGTGGGGGCAAGGGAGGGGGCGGGGGGAAGGGAGGAGAAATGACTCAAACATTGTATGCACATATGAATAAAAGAAAAATTTTTTTTAAAAAGAAAAAAAGATATAAATTATTTTAGCCTGATAATAAATTTTCTATTTCTCTCAATTAAAAAAAATTAAAAAATAAAACAAGTTATAAAATAAAAAATAGTAATAAAATAAAATAATGCTTCCTACATTCATGATTTTTTTAGCCTTTTACTATCTGCACATATATCATCAAAGTTATAATATAAGCATCATTTAAGGTAAAATATTTGTTAACAGAAAAAATACATCAATCCATGCTCTACTCTTTGATGGTTTCAGAAGTAAATGCATAAGCAATCTTAGTCACTACCTACTACAATAAGTGAACAGCTTACCTTTTCAACACAGTTCCTTATTCTAATCAGTTACTGCTATATGTTTGTGAAAAGTGCCATCTTGCATACTTACCGCAGTTTTCTTCATCACTGTCATCATCACAATCAGCCTGGCCATCACATCTTCTAGAAGCCAGAACACATCGTCCTGAACGGCACTTGAAGTGACTAGGTGAGCATTCTGTTGAAAACAATGCTACTCTCAGTGGACAGAAATTCCACAAACTTCAGCTCACTTGTCTATTTATTACATGTGAACGGTTGTTGAGCAGTCATTACTGAAGCTAGAACGGTCCTCACAGAGCTGACCCAACTAAAGTTTTCTTTGCTTTCTTCTGTATGGTAACTGCATCTTTCTCATTCATCCTTGGCACCATCTCTCCAGACTACCGCTTCAGTGTCTATTCTTTCCAGTGATTAGTTATCTTTTGAATGGACAACCTAACAATCGCCAAAGCCTGAAAACCCTTGTAGAGACAATGATCCTAACCATTCAGCCGCTCTTGATATGTCAAAATCATTTCCATATCCAATCTCCCCATATGACAGACTGATGCCCATCTTCATTTCTCTACTTAATAATCCTACATTGTGGCGACCTCTGAATGCTGTGTGCTTGAATGAACCGAGATTTGAAGTTTACCATTATCTTCCAGATCCTGGCAAACAAGCTGCATTCACAGTAATCAGCTCTGTGAGTTATATATGCTTAAAATGATAAACAGCTAGAAATTAAATTCATCTGATTTTATTTTTTATTTCTTGAAATGATTTCTTTATTTTTAAAATGATGGCAATGTATAAAAGATAGGCACCAATGTCTTCAATGTAATCAAGTCCATAGATTCACTGACTAGCAGCCTGATTGACTCCTAAGTACAAAAGCAGTAATCACCACCCAAAACACAGACTTCTAAAGGTAGTTGACACATTCACTATGTTAGATACTCCACTGTAATTAATTTAAAAATTAACCTTTCACTGGGCATGGTGGTACATGACCATAAGTCCAGGTACTAGGGAGGCAAAGGTAGGAAGACTGTGGTTTAAGGCCAGCCAAGTCAAAGTTAGCAAAAGACCCTGTCTGAAAAGCAAACGAAAAAGCAAAAGGACTTGTGGGTATGGCTCACAAGGGTGAGGTCCTAAGTTCAAACCCCAGTACCACAAAAAAAAGAAAAAATAAGTAACCTTCCACATCTTCATCAGGCATTAGGCAAGTTTGATTGTCTGAATTTTCCTCTGGAAATTGATTGCAATCTGTGTCTTCAGGCCACTGCAGACCCACAACCCCAAGAACAGACTCACAGCGCTCTTTGGAGTGCTCACACAGGGCTCTAAAAGGCAAGAAAAACAAAAAGGTGAGGTGGAAGTAGCTCCACTGGACACATATGTCAGGAACACAGTGTTAATTTCATGTGGATGCGGGTCTGTGTATATTGGGGTGAGATCTACAAGTATACAGACATGCACATACACATAATGAGTACTAGGAAACCAAAATAAGTAATATCCCTACAAAGAGAAAGTATTCCAGCAACATGCTTTCACCAAGAGACTTCACTGCAGAGAGGAAATAGGGATGGTTCCAACCTTTTGTTTCAAGCAGGTCCCCAACACCACCAAGAGTCCTGGAGTCTATACAACAGTCCCATCACAAACCTTAAGTATTAGCACATTATAAGTGTGAAGTAATGTTATATTTTTTTCAGACATATAACTGAAAAACTAAATGTTGAGACTAATACAGACTTAGCAACAAAAAACTATGTTGCTTCATGAACTTAACATATAATTTTTGTCAGAATGTAAAATGTTATTAACAAATTATCAAAATATGAAATTCATATTTCTAGCTACTGAAGATAAAAAATATACAAAGTAAAACTAAGAAGCATAATTAAAGTGTCCAAAGTAAGTTCACTCAAAAGCTGAGTAACATCTCAGAACCAGTAGCATCCTAGTCACTTTATTATGAAACTTACACCCTAAAATTTATATTTGGATATAAATTTATATTACAGCAAGAAATGCTGCATTGGGGGAATTTTACACATGAATAGAAAATCAAATACAAGAATACGTGAAGTACTACTAAAAGGAATACACCACGATTGACCTTACAGTAAGATTTGCAAATAATTTATCAACATGAAATTGGTAGACCTTCTATTGGCAATACTTAAAAGGAATTAACAGAAATTTTCAGCATTACTTTTGTACAGCTAACTTTAAGTGTTACTGTCTCCATTCTTTATGATTTGTTCAGTTCCCCAGGTCATTTTGAAATTTTATTATTTCCTGTCCTGGCTCCATAGATGCTCCTACTTTGTCATCCATTTGATATTCAGCATTTAATTTATTGTTTTCCCATCTGTCCCCTGTATTGGTATTATTGCTTTTTCTTAGAGCTATAAGTGACTTTTGATCCCAACATATGGTTTCTGTAGTTATTACTCATGTTTAGGAAGGCACATCTGTGTAGTCTTCCCTTGATGGAGAACAGTACACATAAGAGTAGCAACCACCTCTGGGATAGTCATATCGTATGTGCAAATTCTGTCTACAACCTCTGATGCATGGCCTAAGCCATGCCTAAGCCTTTGTGCCCTGTGCTGTTATCATAGTTACATCAGTCATTATAGGGTTTTTGATCAACTGCAGGTACTTTACAGATATGCACATTTAGTTCATGTATCTCACAACAACCCAACCCAACAACCATCATCAGACTTTTTTTTAACCAGGTAAAGGAACTGAGGCTGAGAGAGACTGAGGAATTTGTTGTAAGGCTACAAAGCATCAAGAGAGGATCCCAGACTTGAACTCAGACAGTGAACTCATTCTGAACAAGTCTCCATAGTATAATTCATGCCCAAAGTCCAGGTCACATACTTGAAGTTCTGTCCTTTTTTTCACTGAGACAGGCAGAAAAAAGTCAGTGATGTCTGTCACTGTCCAACCTGTGAGGTTGGTATTCTCTCTCCCTGTAAATTATCTCTAATTTTTGAGTGCTACCAGAATGCTGCATTTAAAACACATAAGTGTTGCCAAAGAAAGAGGGAGATACACCCCTTCTTCGGTTCATGCACATTTTGCTTTATTTTGTCTTATTTTTAGTGTGGGGATTGAACCCAGGGCCTTGCCTGCACATGCTAAGCACAAACTCTACCACTGAGATACACCCACAGCCCGAACATATATATATATATATATTTAAAAACTTCTTTTTTTTATTGCTGTGCTGGGTGCAGGTACAACATATCAAATAGTATACTTGAATTTACCCCTTGGACCATTCTCCTTTACCCTCGCATTCCTGGAATAGTTTCAACAGGTATCATTTTTCCATTTGCATACATGTGTACACAGTATTTGCACCGTATTCACCCTCCCACAACCCTTCCCCTCCCTCCCTCACCTCCTCCTCCCTCTCACTGATACCAACATGTGATTTTATTTGATGAAAGCACATGACCTATCATCAAAGTGGTTCACACCTTCCTTTTTTTGTACTTGAGTAATGAATGAATCCTTACTCAAATATTTATTTTGCAACCCCTACTTCTTTACCTTTTAAATATATTATTTGTTATGCCCAGGGTGCCTTAGCAATACTGATTTCATCCAAACTCAACTAACTCTTCATTCCTTGATTCCTGAGACAAGCGAGGATGCTTAGGGGAGACGCCATCGTGTTACCTGCAAGGAGGAATGCGTTGGCCTGTATTGACATCACACTTTGGAACCAAAATGGTGCAAGCAAAAAACATGAGGTATTTGTAACAGTTGGTTTGAACAAGTGCAGGGAAAAGAGAGGACTCCCAGCTGATGGATGCTTCCTTTTGAGTCCTATGGCCAAGATAATTTGGATAATTTGTATGGTTGTAGGGCAAATTCATGCAGAGTTCCAATGTAATTGGTTCACACTGACCTAAAAAAAAATACACATATAAATACATAGTTTTTCAAGTTCATATGCAAAAACAACTTCTTTAAACTTTATGAACTTAAAGAATATTTTACTCTTTTTCTTTAGAGTTACTAAGACTAGACTGCAAGTAATATATAATGTTTTTCTGTAGGTATCAAAAATAAGGAAATTGCTTAATGAAGTACTATGATGAACTAAGATTAATTTCTGTGTATGTAGCTGCTAACACAATGCCCTACATGCATATTTTACACTCTCTTCTCATACTTTTGCTTGATTCAACTTATCTGAAAATGACTCCCTTTTATCATGCTTTTTATTCACTTCAATTTGCCTTTTTCTTCTGATTTATCCATTACTTCTAAAATAGAATAGTCCCACATTCTCTTCACAGCCATTAAAAAAATCAATGAATTTAATTAAGTAGACAATAGGCAACTTCTGTCTATTTACTTTATTGTTAATCAATAGATTTAAATATAAGGCTAAACTTTACAGGGTAGGAGGAGGCTAAGATTTGTTGGATGCTTCTTGCTAATGAGGATAAAATCCAAGCACTTAGCTTAGAATCCAAGGCTGTTTCACTCTTCAACCACAGCCTAACTTTCCTGAGTATGGCTATACCATCAACAATCTCTACTGGGATGAATTCTGGCCTTCTGTGACACCAATATTTTAAGAATTGCATGTCTTTTCCCCTCTCTTAACCCCCTTCTTTTCTTGGAGTACTAAAAATCATCCCCTCAAATGGAGCCATGCTTCCAGCTGCCATGTGCATCTAGCACCTGCTGTTAGGCATGATCTTTTCCCTACATCCCCACCAAGCCATCTCCTTGTGGCTTGGATGACTCAATATAAATACTTCTTCCAGCAAGCCTTCCTGGCTAACTGATCTTCCCACTTCTAGAAACTCCCAGAATGAGTCTCTTCTGAGTGATGTGGTATCTCAGGCATGTGCTCATTACACTCTGCTGAGTTCTTCATTTAGCCACTTGCCTCCCCCCACAAACATGGACATAAATTTGAGATTTCTGAGAAACAATCTCAGAGTCCACACCCAGCACAGTGCCAAAATGGAGGGAGGAAAAGAGAAAAGGACATGTGTCAAGAACTTCCTTGGCACTGCAAATGTAAGAGTAATGAAAGACTGTGTCCCTACCGTTGAGGAATTCTGTGATCTTGATACACCTGTGGTGGTAGCTGTAGAATAATGTGAATTGGATAGAGTTTGTCATGGTCTGAATGTTTGTGTCTCCTTCACCTGAAAGTTCATATACTGAAACCCCAAAGAGACAGAGCATAGCAGGTGCATCTCAAGAAGGCTTCAAGGATAAAAGAGTTTGGGCAAGTTTGGGGGAGTGCAGTAGAGGCACCATATTTCATAGGTGTTTGCAGCAGGTGTGCTACATTCCCAGAAGGGAGAAAGGGAATCAGGCAAGTGTCTTGGCAAAATTAGCCCAAGCAAACTGAAGCCCCCATGCCTTATTAAGAGTAATTATCCAAATTAAATTTAATTATTTGACAGAAAAGTGGTTTGCATGCAAGTAGAATAGCAGTAAGAACCAGTGTGAAATATTAAAATAGCCCCAGGATCACTTATTAATCTGAAGAAACTAAGGACTTCACAGATATTACGTTCATAAGGAACCTGACTCTGACCACATTAAAAATGTCATGAACCCAGCATAAGAGGACTCTCAGCTTCCTAAGAAAGGCACATTACTGGGAAGTTGACATCATCTTGAGGATGAGTATAAGGTGGAAAGAAGAGGAGACAGAAAATGATGGGGTTGATCCAGCTTATCATACCCTTTAATTTGTGGAGGAGGAGTGTTATGGGCTGAATGTTTGTGTCCTACACCTCTTTCCAAGTTCATATGTTGAAATCCTAACCCACAATGTGATGGTATTTGGAGATGGGGATCTTTGGGAGGTAGTGAAGTCATGAGGGAAGAGCCATCATGAGTGGAATTAGTGCCATTGTAAATGCAATCCCAGGGAATTCTCTGCCTGCTTTCCACCATGTGGGGATACAATGAGAAGTTGGCCATCTGCAGCCCAGAAGAGGGTCCTCCCTAGAACCTGACTGTACAGATACCCTGGCCACAGCCTCCAGAACTATGAGAAACAAGTGCCTGTTACCTATTACTTTATAATAATTTATTATATCTACCCAAACTAAGACAAAGGAAACATTTAAATATTTTGTCTTCAGATTTTAAAAAAGCATTTCTTTGTAGCAACAAAAATAACATAAAAAAACAGTTCATTATCTCCCCATTTCTCTCTCACTCACCCTCAAGGCTGGTGCATGGGTTTGAAGTGTTCCATGCCTTTCCTTGCTCACATTTATACACACAGGCATTTACAGACTTAGACAGAGTCTTTTGCTTTGCCTAAGAAAAGTCATACTGTTCCTATTTGTCTTCAACTTAATTTTGTTGCTTCATTATTTATCATAATCATCTTACAAGTCAGGATTGCAACTCTAATTCTTTACCCTTTTCCTTTAATATAATTTTACACAACAGGATAATCCACACCAATTTTTGATGTAGTCTTTTCTTCCCTCACCCATGTCTCCTCTTCTACTACTTCATCAAGGTTTAACTTCTTACCAGTGTATTTCATTTTGATGAACAGAACATACTACATGGATAATTTCCCTTTCTTTTGACATAGGGAGAATGTATAACTTTTGATTTGTGATAAAATGTAACTTATAAATGTTTCAGAGCCCAAGGAGATGAAAAGATTGAAGAATGATTATATATTATTTTTAAGATCTTTATTGAATATAGTAAGGTTGATTGGATCTTGTGTTTTATTCCTTCATAAGACATTCTTTAGAGACTGTTGAGCAAGTTAAACTCTCAAGATACCTATCAACCCCAAATTCTGTGATATATGACACCAATAAACTTTTATATCATAAGCATGAGACTCACTCATGAGCCTGGTTTTCAGTAGCCACTAGAGGGCGATTGTGTTACAAATGAGAGGATATCCAATACCACAGAACTGTGTTTCCAGTCCAAATTCCCTGCAATGCCCACCACAGTATCGTGACTATAGAAGAGCTTTAGTAGATATCCAGGGTTTTTTAAAAAAACAAAAAGCCTGAAATAAGACTTGTTAAATTCAATGTAAATATGGGATTTTGAAATAAAAGATGTGACATCCTTGTTATGCAGTATTCTGAAGTCACTGGAAGTCATATATAGAATGATGGTCGCTTACATGAAAAGATATCCCTTTTCAACATTAAGTTACATATAGAATACTCAAAGATTCATCTTTCCCTCAAATGCTAACCCTCTCTTTATCACTATTACTTACAATAATGAATTACTATAATATGAACATCCTTTTAATTACCAACCAGGAAAAGAAAATGAAATTGACTGATACCTAGAAACCCTTCCATATAACCTGTTTTACCTCAACCTTCTCCTTTCTCCCCAAAGTAACTAATGAGTTTCACAGCATTCACTGCCTTGCAAAAGCACAGAGCACCCCTGAGGTACTGTAGTTCAGGCTTGCCTATTTTTTTTAAGCTTGTTATTTTAAGTCTCCTAAAATTTCTGGGTTCCCACTCAACCCCTTTGTTTTTCTTTATAATTTCACTAGTGAAAACAGGGATTTGACTTGTAAAGCATATCATAGTTTGGACTTTGCTGGCACATACTCCTAGTGAAGTTATACAAGTTCTCTCATCCTCTCTATTTCCTGAACACTGGCAACTGAATCCACAGGGTTGACTAGGCTTCATTCCTTTGGCAAGACTATAGGTGTCTGTGGTCTCCTTTCCTTAGAAGCCACCTATCTCATTTCTCTCTTTTTTGTGATGCTGGCAACTGCAGATGCGCCATACTTTAGCCCATTAATTCACTGTGTCACACAATAATAATATTCCAACTCAGCCACTTACTTTTCACTTATAGTTAGGAATGCTTTCATAAAGAATTCATTTCTTCCATCTACTGTTGGTTCCCAAGAACTGAGGTCTTTAACTGTTATTGTGTTTGGCTTCTTGGCCATACCCCTGTGCTTTTTGTTCCCTCTAATTGGAGCTTGCAAAGAGAGGACAGGGAGTTATAGATTGGTAGGAAATTATTCAGTGCAAAGCTGTTCATTTCTTCCTCTTCATCAGTGTTGAATAAGAGCCTTGGAGGAAATGAAATGTTTGAGAAGACACAGAGAAGTAAAGAGCACTGTGGGAAACTCTGTGGTGTGCCTGGTGGCATGACAGCCATACCATGTTTCATACAACCATTGGGAACATGTGCACAGAGAAGGGGAGAGACATGCCCAGGAATTGCTATTTCTGCCAGGTCCCCCCAGCTGCCTGGATTGCATACTAAGGGGGAGTGATGGATTAGTCACTCTATGTCATAGTGAGGGGAATAGGATTCCTACTTCTCCCCCTAATGCAAGGATACATCTGCATTTTGCTTCTGGCAGGGCACAGAGATGTCAATGATGTTGGATTGTGACTGAACAAGGTAACACAGGCTTGCTAAAACATGTTGCCTGAGAGAATTGTGATACTTCAAGCCATAAGCACATTTTCTCATCAGAGGTGTAGTCTTTAGGTTTGTGTTGTTGTTGTTGTTGGGTTTTGTTGTTGCTTTTTAGTGGTATTGGGGAGTTTAAATTCTAGGCCTCATGCTTGCTAATCAAGCACTCTACCACTTGAGCCATGCCTTCAGCCCTTTTTATTTTAGTTATTTTGCAGATAGAGTCTCACAGTTTTCCCCAGGCACAATGGACTGGCCTGGACCTCAATCCTCCTATTTATGCCTCCTGTATAGTTGGAATGACAGGCAAGTGCTAGTACACCTAGCTTTATTGATTAAGATGAAGGTCTCACTTTTTTCTAGACTGCCTTTGAACTGCCATCCTCTCATCTCCACTCCCAAGTAACTGGGATTACAGGCAAGCAATATTGTGCCAGGTGTTCTGTTGTTGTTGTTTGTTTTTAATTGTGGCCCCTCTGGGATTCTAAGGTAAGTCTTTGACATGACTGTCACTGTTCAAAATGTCCATTCCCAAGTGAAGGTGAAATTAAAAAATAATTCAAAAAGTTCCAGGGCAGACTGTGAGACAAGCAAAATGAAACAATGGAAACGATAGGACAAGAATAGATTCATGTACACCTGCATATGCATGTGTGAGTAAAATCTGTTTAGAGGAAATAAAATGACAGTGCATCTTCTTAATGGACGGTCTAGTATCTACTGTCCTAAATACTGTTCTAGAGGGTGCTATAGTTTGTCCCTCTGACACTTATGCAGAAGTTTAATCTCAACTGTATGGTAATAGGAATATAGAAACTTAATCAGATTATGATGTTAAAAGTAGTGCCTTGGGAAATCATTGGGATTGAGTAAGATAATCAGATTTGAGCTCCCAAGGTTGAGTATTGGTGGCTCCATCTGGGAAAAGAGTTCTGTCTCTCTCCATGTAATGGCCTGTGCTACTTTGGTACTCTGCCAACAAGGCCATCACCAGATGCAGCCCCTCAACTTGGAGCAGAATCATGAGTATGCATGAACATCTTTTCTTTATAACTTACTAGTCTGTGGAACTGTGTTATTAGCAACAGAAAAAAATGTACTAATGCATAGGGAAAACTATCCCCACATATAACAAAGAGGGCTGGGTGTTGTGCTTTCATCCAAATGGTTATTTAGTGCCCACGAAAACCAAACTCCTGACAGTCCGGGATTGAATTGGCTGCCTCCCTCGAACCCCTCCTCAGACCACTTTTTTTTTTTTAACCTCAAGACTCCCTAATGGCTACAGGACCACAAGAAAACTGCAATAAATCCAAGGCCCTGAGCCCTTCAGCCTTCTAGCATCCTAGCTGCCAACAGCCTTGACTAAGAGGATGTGTGTTAAGAAGTAATTCCTTCTGGCCACATGAAAGTTGACTGACCTGCTTCTAGGTTTCTAGCCCAAAGCCAAAGATGAGGCAAACAATTAACTACCAAAAGTGAAATAAGTGAGTACAAAATGAAAACAGAGCCCAAGAGTAAGAAATCACTTCTAGACGTCAGTCATTGGAGATTTTCTGATTCATTTTTAAATTTCCCAAGAGTCTACTCAGTATTCTTCACTTCTGCCCATCTGTCTTTCCCCAAACAATTCCTCTTGAAAATTTAAAGAGGGCCACTTGCTTAATACTATTTGGAGCAATTACACTGTTACTGAAACAAATTAATACAATGGTTCCAAAACCAGTATAAGTCACCAAAATTCCTGGAAAGGTGAAAATAAACTCATTAAAAGAACAGGCTACCAAAGTTTTATGTGGCTATACTTCCTATTCACTTCTCAGATAAAGTTTCTGTTTTTGAAGCTGTGTTTCTAAAGGGAAGAAAGATAACATCTGCCTTTAGATGGAGCCAAGAAAATCACACATGGGATCTGATGTTGAGTTGAAAGTGATGGTAATGATATTAAGCAATGTGGATTTATAGCCCATTCATAATGACACATTTGTTTCGGATTTAAGTTAATTAAGACCATTTTGTTTCTTTTCTGCTACCACATGCAACCTTTTAAAAAGAAAAAGAAAATAGATATACTTTCTTAGAAAGATTCCAGACTTCAGTAGCATACTGTCAATGCAGAAGAAAAGAGTTGAATGCGTATTTTGTCACAGTGATTGTATGTGTCAGCTGCTGTACTTACTACAGTTGCTCAGACTGCTGTCTGAGTCACACAGAAAGCTACCACCACATGAATGGAGGCAGGAACTGTACAGGCATCTTTGGTCTCCTTCTTGACATGGAGTCTGACCTATGGAGGGGGAGAGGCACAGTGGCTTTCATCATCTGTAAATTCTTTACACTCTGTCTAAAGAATTAAGAATGTCTGATAAAACTGAGGAATGAAACAACTTTAATTTCCTTCCAACTTCTCCAAAACTGTCAAACACATGTGAAATAGATGCTTTCTTGATTCATTTTCCTGGCAACTAAAAACAATCCAGTTATTCCAAAACAGGATTCTGTAGGAATGAAGAAATAAGAGATAAGGTACACTAAAAAACCAGTCGTTGTTGCTTTGAATGGAAAAAAATAATACTTCGCTTATACCTGATCACAAAATAAAAGATAAAATTCAAGCTATTAGAAGGAGAGAAAGTAATATAAAGATATTGAAATTCTGGATATTGGATGATATATTTTAAAGATTCATTTAATCCTAACACTCCCTCAAAGGAAAATGCTTTCTCTAGTAATAAGCAGGGTATCAATGCCAATGCAAGGATGCTTTATCATAGTACAAGTTATGCAGCTGTTATCCATATTTTCAGTATGTCTTTGGGAAGACGCCTCAGCCTGGCTGTGATGACCTGAGGACAAGGTTTCTTGTTTGCAACTGAATGACAGCAGTAACATCAGCATAATGGCTTTTCCTTAAGGTAGGTAAAGAGGAAACTGCTTTTCCCATTGATTTCCTGGTCATTTGTAAATTAAATGGGTAAAGTAATAAATTACTTTCTATCTTCTTTCCATTTCTCCCCCACTACTACAACAATTACTTTCAGATATGGCACCTTGAATCTAGAAAATCGGGCAAGGAAGTTTTCAGTACAAATAGTCACATGTGTATATCCATAATCATCCCTATATGTAATTCTAAGACAGTGTTTGTTATCCTGGAATCCTTCTCCTTTCCAGTCCCACTATTGTGAAATAGTATATATTATCACCTTGCAGAAAAGACATGTTGCATTTTTTGTTTAAAGTCAACAGGGTTCAATTTTTTCTCAAGACAATCCTAAATAACTTTCATAAGTTGAAGCTCTTCATGCACTTTTAAGACATCATGCCTTCACTATTAAGTAGTAGAGTGAAGGATTGAAGTTAGGCATCTGGCTGTAACAACCATATTCTTAATGACGAAGCTAAGCCAGTATCATATAAACCAATATGACAATTTTTAAGTTTGGGGGGATACTACTATAAGCACTATATGAGAGGGTTTCCATACAAACTTTGGCTTAAAATGACAAGTGTGGAACCTTATTTTTGACAGAAATCATCACATTTAAAAACCGACTTATTTGACTTAGATTTTTCCTTTTAAGTTTCACACATGGATATCACAACTCCTTATAAAGTGTATGTAAGCTTATTGCTTGATAATGTGAAATATTAAACTGCCTCTCTGAACATGGTTATGTTTAAGAAGCCATTACAATTAATTTCAAAAGCCAATTTCTTATAATTGGAATCTACTCTTACTTAATTGGGTGCTACACACTAAACTCGTCTCTATCATGGCTTTCACCATAAACCAGTTACCTGAACTCAACCATATTGCTTCACCTCTCCTCCACACTCTTAGGAATGATTTCCCAGCATGTGTTACTTGAACATTATATTTACCAAAAGAAAAAGTTTCTAGGGCTATGAGGACCACTGTGTTAAGCAATATGGAATTATTTATATGGAAATCCTACTTAGGCACTAAGTAACTTTCAGATGGTTTGTTTTACTCCCAATAAAGGAATGTTCCAGAGATTCAGGACACACTCACGGTCACTGCAGCTCTCCTCGTCACTCCCATCCTTACAGTCCTCATCCCCATCGCACTGGAAGGTACTAGGAATGCACTGTCCATTTCTGCATTCCACCAGACCCTGGCTGTGACAGGCTAGGAAAGGCCAGAACAATATACACCTTATTTATTAATTCTTCTTTCAGTCTGCAGAATATATAATTGATTCCCACTTATCAGTCATTGCTTTTTTAAATTTCAAGCATTTATGGATTGAAATATTTCCTTCCAGAATTTTTTCTTCCTAAAGAATACTTAGTAAAAATTATCTTTGTAGTAAGAACTGTGTGGTTGTTTTCAATGATGGTAGTAGAGATACTTCCAATAATAAAATCTACAATTCATAAAGGGCTTATTACATGGCTAAAGCTATCCTAGGTGCATTGTGTATGTGATCTTGAATCCTCATAAAACCCTTGAAAAGTAGACAGTATAATCCTTGTCTTACAGATGAGGAAACTGATGCCAAGAAAGCAGAGTGCCTCTCATAAAGCCACATGGCTGTTAAGAGGCAGGACCAGAATAGGAAGGTAAGTTTGTCTGGCTCCAAGCCCACATATTTCATTCTATACCTATCCAAGACAATTTATAATATCATATAATGTAATGCAGTATAGTGTAGTGTAGTGTAAGTATAATGTGATATAATATAACAAGCCAATTAAATAATATATGTGAAAGAACTCATATTGTACATAACACACAATAAACACTTTATTTCCAAACTTGCTAATGACATTTGGTATTTAAAGGAGATGCTCTGGGAGCCTTCTGGTCTCTATAATTTCTCAACCTTCTATGCCTACCTTCTTTTAGAGCATCAGAAACACATGTGTCATGAGACCTCAGCCTTCATTGAATTACCATCTAACATTAAGATCCCTGTTCTTAAATCAAAATCAAAGCTCAGCTCCACTCATGGGTTTTGGGTTTTTTTTGTTGTTGTTGTTTTTGTTTTGTTCTTTTTGACTATCATGTACTTGCTCCCCCAAGATCATCTCCATACGGCTCACTCTGTTCTACTGGTCTGAGAATCAAGGGCTCATCCATCTCAAATTCAACTCAGGGTAGAAGAAAGCCGGGCACTGCATTTGTGAAAATTTTTACAACTTTTCTTATGTGAAAATATAAACTATGTTATCAGTATTTCTATTTTTGTCTCAAATTATAAGCCAATTAAATATTAAATTTCATGCACAATGTTTATAGATACTTTATTCAAATTCAACCAACCACAAATCAAAAATGTTCATGGAAAATAATGTCCCTACACTAAGAGCACAGATTTTTTTTCTTCTCATTATTCCCTAGTCAATACAGTGTAAGAACAATTTCCAACACTGTGTTAAGTAGTATCAGTAAACTAAGGATTATTTAAAGTATATGAGAGGACATGCATAGGTTAGATACAAACTCTTTACCATTTTATAAAAGGGACTTGAATATCCCCCAATTTTGGTACCCACCCAGGGTCCTAGAATGAATGCCCTGTAGATATCAAGGGAAAACAGTATATCAACTCTACTTTTATTAGATAACAAGAGATAAAATAAAAAGTTTAACTAGTTCAAATATGCATGAAATACATCATATTAACTTTTTCAGGTCAATTTAATCTCTTTTAATATATAATTGCTACTGTTCAATAATTTTTAATATCATCTACTGGGAATAGTACATTTTCTAGGTAGTAAAACGATGGTTAATGGTCACACTTGCTACTGGTTTGGTAGTGAAAATTAAACCTAAAATTTTTAATTCACCCAGAAACACAACAGGCTATAAAATGATAATTATTATCACACACTTTCTGTGTCACTGTTCAAACACTACAGGGGCTCTTCTTTCTGGCAATTCTCCCCATTATCTACAAATGGCTACTGAAAATGTTTGGAGGTTCCTGAAAGGGGCTTAGCTATACAATGTTTGCAGGAAAAAGATCCCCTGGTCTCTGGAAAGAGCATTACCTTTGACAAAGTAACACACACACATAAAGGGACAGAAGCAATGAGAGCAAAAACATATCAGCCAAATGAGCTTGGAAGTGGGGGACAGAGATGTGAAGTCACACACATTACATTGCTATTGTTATCACATCACTCAACCTTTATAGGCTCAAACCAAAGTATAATATTCACTCCCTCTGAACACTATTTAGATGGTGAACCTTGACTATAGTCCTCAAACTTGAGTAGAGTCTAAAAGAAGAAACTAAAACATAAGCAAATGAGAATCCTAGGGGCACTCACAGCAATTGACCTCATCAGACTTGTCCACACAGTCATGGTCTCCATCACACACCCACTCAACTGCAATGCAGCGCCCATCCCCACAGCGATGCTGTTTTGTGGGATTGCAATCTGGATAAAAGAAAATACAAAAAGATGAGGAGAAATAATGCACAAAAAGACCTACTTAGAATTGCATGGCTCACAACTCTAGCTGAAGAGAATCTATTCCCATTGTTCTGATGCTTTCAATAACATTTTAACGATGGATCTGACACAATCAAAATGCCACCTCCCACAAAATATGATACCACTGCTTATATCACAGTGAGTCTGCTTCTCAGTGGAGTAACAACTCTGCCCAACTTTCCCAAGAACCCAGCTTTATCCTTATCACTGTTATCTTTCGTTTTCTTTCCTTATGAAAAATTTGTGATTTTTACACTGACTCAAATAACAGAATAGTGATTTATTTGTGTTTCACGATGCAGAAGATATCTGATTGAAAATATACTTGTGATTGGTCTCTCTTGTTTCTAAGAATTGTAACTTACCTCTCTGGCAAATTGGGAAGCCAGGTATCTCCTTGTGTCATCTCTCCTGGCCCTAAGCCTAGGTTTCCTATAGTATTATTTATCAGAATATGTACTCATATTTGAAAGAACAGCTAGGTGAGCAATGAAAAAACTCTTTTTTCATGATTCCTTTCAGCCTGAATTTAAACTATGCCCCAATCAATCTATAGACAGGAGCAAGGGAAAAGGGAGAGGGAAAGGAAAACTAAGTGATGTTTCCTCCCACAAAAGGCAGAAGCCATAGGCTGCTTTGCTACGAGAGTAGTATAAAATAAATACAAACAGCTCTTTAAAAGATGTACGTGGGTTCACAAATATCAGGCTCAATAGTGAGAAAGCCTCATGAGTCTCCAATAATGGAGCTAGTCATAGGCTTATGAGAGACCACGCACTTTAAAGGGCATTTTGAAGCATTTTAAAGGGCATTTTGAAGTGAAGTACATAGAAGACATATGCAAAGAAAAGGCAAAAAGTATGAATAAGGATGCTTGGGTGGGAACAAGAAGATCCACCCAGGCCCAATCTAACAGCCAGGGCAAAGGCTGGTCCAAGAGAAGGTCATAATTACCCAAACAATGATGTAAATTTTGTGATATCCTCCTGTCTTCAGAGGTGTTATGTTGAGTGGTGAGACCATCCTTTTTTTCACACTAACTATACCTTGGCCCTTTCCACTAACCTATGTGGCTACTAAACGATACTCACTGCCCCCTCCCACATTCTCCCATTTACCTCATTGGGAAAAGAAGAGGTTGGATTAGATAATCTCTAACATCTCTTGAGACTGTAGATTCTATGATGTATATAATTACAAGTCTAGTCAGTCCCAGATGGTAACCCAGATCTATCCAGTCACTCATGGGATGGTTTGCACACCCTCACACTTTTCATTACTTTTATGCATGCAGTGAGGGAAGTTAGATAGTGTTCCCAAAAACCAAGTTTCCAAGCATGGGGCTATTTCTGATGCTCCCCACTCCAAGACATTCCTCAGATCCTTTCCAACATTCCTTTCAATAGTCTAACGTTGGACACTGCCCAACATCACAAGGCCAGTGTCCATCTTTATCCCCGCTTGCCCATTTGTTCCTATTGCAAAGTTCATACTGACAGTCAAAAATTCTAAAATTGGTCACAAACTCAAAACAGTAAATAGGCAAGAGTAATTTCATGAGATAGCATTTGCAGTTGAGCATGGCTCTCCAAAAGATAGATTCATGCTTTAAAAGATAAAACTAGCATCTTATCTTTATGCATAAAATAAATGTATTATCCTAACCCTAGATGTACTACTGCACGAGTCCCTGTTGTTTTGGGGAATCAAATATAAGAGAGGATTTTGGTTATGTATAACACTTTGCAATGCATCATCTACAAAGTTTTGCTCAAGAGCTCAAAATCCAAACATAAACCACAGGCTCTAAACAGAAGAGAAACAGAACACTGACACAGAGGAAAAAAAAATATTAGAACTTTTTAGACAACTTTTACCCATCTTTTCACATCCACTTTCTTAACTTTCATTAGGATGACTGTGTAAGAAGTAGTACCTTGACACATAAGACATTACTGAGACCAGTGCTTGAACAAACTTTCTAAAAAATAAGACACCCAACAATTTTGTGACTTAGCCCAATAATTGTATTAACAAAGAGTGAGCTACAAGTTCTTGGCTATACATTTCTGAGATTTTTAAATAAAACTTTTTTGAAACAGTGCCACTTACCACAGTTTTGCTCATCGCTCAGATCCCCACAATCATCATATCCATCACACACCAGGCTGTAATTCAGGCACTTGCCTGTGCGACAGCGAAACAGATCCTCACTGCAGTCTGCAAATAAGAGGAGCTACCAATGTGTCATCAGCAGTGTTGATGCTACAGCAATACTTTATTTAATAAAAGCCTATGATGGGAGGGAAGCCACAATGGTAATTTGGTCCACACCTATTGTTTTACAGGTAAGGAGCTTGTAGCACAGAGAGATCCAATGGCTTGCTCAAGGTCACTCAACAAGTAATTGCAGAACCAGAACTAAGACACTCTTGTTTCTCAGCCAAGTACTTCTAGCACTTTTTGAAAGTCTCTATCTGGCTTTTCCTTTTATTGCCTGAAAGCTTCTTAATAGTCAAAGATGAGAAAAAATATTCTCAGTTAACCACTGTTCCTTATGAAGTTCATGTTCATACATTAACTTTAATAGAAGGTGAGTAGTTCTTTTATAAAAGTTCTTCCTTCATGGTAAAAGTCTAAGATGGTGAATAACAAACAAAATAGAGAACTAAGCCATCTAGATTTTAGAGCTGTCACTTCTTTCACATAAACATTAATGGTGAAGTTGCTTGAGTGTGTCATTAAAACACCCTCTAAAAAGCAAGTGCTGTCCTAAGGTTATGGTGTCAAGATAAGAATAAGTGATATATAGTCTCCAGAAGCTTATATTTAATGTTGAAATAAAGTACATGCAAAGAAATGGTTTCTTAATTTTAGTAAGAACATAAGATCTTGTCTTAAGATTGACCAGTGGAAGAATGAACTTCCACTTTCATTCCATCACCTACTAGCTATGGTACTTCTAGTGCTCAACTCTAGATGTCTCTGAGATGATCTTTTCAAGGGGGCTAAATCTCATAGGAAGTCTAAGTCATTTAAGAAAGGTAAATTTAAACCACAATAACACCCAATGACATGGCTACAATCAAAAAGGGAAAAAGATAATAATACCAAGTACTGGCAAGGATTTTGAGAAGTTGAAACCTTCATGTATTGCTGATGGAAATATAAAATACTACTGTGGACAGCAGTTCGACAGTTTCTTAAGGTAATGATAATTTTGCCATACAACTAATTTATGAATTCTACTCTTAGGAATCTAAGAAAAATTGAACATGTGAAAAAGATTTGTATATAACTGTTTACAGCAACATTATTCATAATCACCAAAAACTGGAAAAAATCCAGATACTAAATGATGAATGGAAACAAAATATAGTATACTCTAACAGTAGAACACTATGCAGAGATTAAAAGAATCAAACTACTGATATATGGGACAGCATTAATGAGCCTTAAAATGTTATACAAATTGAAAAGAATCAGATACAAAGACTACATATTATATGACCCATGTATGGAATTTCCAGAAAAGCAAATTTATAGACAGAATTCAGAACAATGCTGCCAGTATCTAAAGGAGGTAACAGTGATGATTGACTGTAAGTGGATGGAAGGGAAATTTGGAGAAGATGAAAGAGTTCTGCAACTGGATTGTGACCCACGGCTATACATTTCAATAATTTTTTTAAAAAATCAATAATGAAATTAATGGTTAGTATATTTTCCTTGCTTATAATTAAATGCAAAAAATAGGTTGTTTAAGACTGAAGAAAGATCATGGGAGATGGGCAGAATTTTAGTTCATTGACCAGGAATAGTCAATGGTCCAGTCTTCTGAATTCCACTGATTGTCTATTGTCCTATGTCTCATGCAAGGACACTTCTTTACTATAAGCATCCCAAACCAGATGACAATTCATTATCAAAAGTCTTTCTCACCTATTAGCCCACCTCTCTCTTAGTTCTAGTGTTCCACAGCACAGTAGGATGACTATAGGTTACAACAACCAGTTATACACCTTGTGAAGAACTAGAAAAAAAGAAGTCTAATGGCTCTAAGAACAAAGAAATAATAAAAAATTGAAACAATGATTACCTTGATCTGACCATTTATATACTGCATGTATGTGTTGAATTATCATGCTGTATTAAGTAGGTATGTGCAATTATTAGGTCAATTTTTAAAAGCCTTTGGCATTGACCAGTTAAACTGTTAGCCACATCAAAATGATATGTTTATATATGCATGAATTATAAGCGCCTATTTTTAAAAAGCATTCCACTAGAAAGAATCATCTTTAAAACTTTTAGAATCCCATCATTTTAGGAATGGACTGGCCGTTAGAGATCATCTGTACAGCACCTTCACTAAGAAGACATGTGTATGCATACACACATAAACGCACATGCCTGTGTATACTTATGTTCACACTTACAGAACTTGATAAGTACTTTTTTTATTTTTTTACTGCTCCATCCTGAATAATTTTCAAATGAGGATGACCATAATAAGGGAAAATTCAAGAACTAAGAGAAGATCCTAGTTATCACCTTAACAGTCCTATTTCTTCCTGTTCAGCAGAGGGCACTCTCTCCCTGGTCTGCATCCCACTGCAGAATGGGGTGTAGGACAGCTGATCCCAGAAAGGTTATGACATTGGCTTTCATGTGCACTAGACAGATTTTGGGAACATATTTGTGAAGTTTTTGAAAGGTCTTTTAAATTTTTGTTTTGTTTTCATCTAAATTTCTCTTGTGGGAAGTTTTGCTAGAAACCACAAAAACCAAGGAAATAAGGCTTCTCAATTTGACCATTAGTACAAAAGTACATGCACTCTCCCAAGAAGGTAGGGAGGAAAGGGAAATGTTAAGCCATGAGTTAAGTTCTTTTTAAGCAGCGCACTTTCCTTTTTGGATAGTAGGAGTACTAGGAACCAAATCCTCCTTTTGTAATCTAATTAATATGAGAACACACCAAAAGTTTCCAAAGGTTTATATGACCTCTGTGAGGCCCATTCTGGATCCATGGTAATTCATACTAAAACACCTTACAGGAGATATTTTTAAGATTAGTGTTGTTATTTATTAAACTATTCCATAAATAGAAAGAACTCAGGCATTTTTTTTTGAAACTTTTCATTATTCACACAGGTGCAGATTCAACTTTCTACTCTTAGAACTTCCTTGGTTAGAAGACACTTTCATAAGTTAGATTCAAAATTAGCTGCATTTGGAACACATGTCGTCACTTCCTCCCTAAGGTCTATGTGATTAGTAAACACTCAAAACCTAGCCAATGGGCAGCCAGAAAGACATAGCAAATAGCAAAAATCACAGTGCCTCTTTTTATTGGAATAAATGTTTATTTGAACTGAAAAGAGATGTGGTCAGTGCAGTTTAGAGCCAATAAATAAACATTTTCAAAAGGTGTTTGCTGTGATTTTCCTGCTCAATACAAGCATAATTTTGCATGACCTAAGGTGGATGTTTTTCTACCTACAGCTCTTTTTTCTTAAGGAGTGCTTGATACAAAATGTTTCTTCTGAAGTTCTTTCAAGCTAATATTTATTTCAGTTTTGCATCTCATTTGAGAAACTACTAACTTTTGTCCCCCAAAATCATCATTAAATTAAAGCTGGAAAGTCATAAACAGAAAACCTTTTATCAAGGACTTTATTCTATTTGCTCAGTCTCTAAGGCTCTGTAAACATAAATGACTTGCCTCAACACAAGAAGCAAGTATGGAACTGCATGTCTCTAATCCTAGCTACTAAGCTGAAATCAGGAGGATCACAGTTTGAGGTAAGCCCATGCAAAAAGTATGTGAGACCTCTAACTCAATGGAAAAGGTTGGGAATAGTGGCACACACCTGTCATCCCTGCTGCAGCAGGAAACAAAAGCAAGAAGGCTCTCAGTCCAGGCTGGGCTGGGCAAAAAGCGAGACTGTATCTCCAAAATAACCAGAATAAAAATGGTTAGAGGCATGGCTCAAGCAGAAGAGTACCTGCCTTGCGAGTGGGAAGCTGAGTGCAAATCCCAGTACCACCAAAAACAAAAAAAGCCAAATATGGAAGCTCAATTTCCTCCCGTAGAATGGAACAGATGGGTAGGACCAAAGATCATTTCATCCAAACTTCTCACGGTGAGATGAACACGGAGGTCAAAAGATTTGCACATCATCATTCAGCCAATTAACAGCAGATTTGTGAGTAGAGGCCAGACTTCTCGAAATGCTAGTTTTTACTACTACTGTCTCTAACTCTAGAGGAGGGTTTCTCAACTGCCATATAATAACTTTTTGAACTGGGAAGTTCTTTGCTGGATGGGGAATGGTTGTCCTGTGTATTGTAGGATGTTTAACAGCATCTGGGGTCCTCAGTTCCTGGATATCAGTAGTATCTCCTCCCATCCTCACAGCTGTAGCAATCGTAACTTTCTCCATACATTGCAAACTGCTACCCACAGGATTGAGAACCACTGTTTTAGAGTATGCTAATGTCACCCGACGGCAAGACCTAGCTTTAATCCTATCTTTTCTACCAGGTTCTCCATACAACCCATTCCATCATCTTCTCTTCTCATAGGACTTGGTGCCACTACATGTTTGTTTGCATCAATATTGTTTGGCTTTATTCCTTGTGCTACTTAAAAATACTGTAGCTAATGGTTTTTATGCTTATATTCTATTTTCCTGCTTCAACTGAAAGCCTCATAAAGAAAGAAACCAAGTCTTAACATGTCTGCTTGCTGGATACATAGAACATGCTTCACAGATAGCTGGAATTCAGGAATATTCAGTAGTTTAATTGGCTTGGTATAACAGATTGCCACTACCCAAAAGTGAATTTTAAACATTTGAAGCATCTTCCTTTAGGGTAGAATGAGATAGTTTTATTATTCTGATGGGAATTTTTCTAGCATTTACTTACATCCCTGTCTTAGTGAAAAAAAAAAAACTATAGTAAAAATAGTCTTTCTTTTTTTCAGTGATACTGGGGTTTAAACTCTGGGCCTCACACTTGCTAGGTAGGCACTCTATCACTTGAGCCACTTTAGCAGCCCAAGTCATTTTCGATGACTTAGAAATATCATTTGAAATACCAATATTTACTTTGTGCTGTTCAGGTTACATCTTTTCTTAAAATAACTTCATGTTACTGCTTTTAAAATCATTGAGCATAATTTTAGTGTTTCTCTCTCCCCTACCACGTATCAGCTATCTCCAGGACTTCTAGTGGCCATTCTCTACACTATAGAAATGAGAGGTGCTGAGTGGATACTATGGTTTGGATATGAAGTGTCCCCCAAAAGACTCAAGTGTTGTAGAATTGGTCACCAACTGGTGGCTCCAGTCACTGAGGTACCTGGATCATGAGGGTTCTAACCCAATTTATGGAACTGATCTACTGATGAATTTGTTATTTGATGGCATTATTGGGAGGTGATGGAAACTGTCAGAGATGGGACCTCACTAGAGGAAGTAGGTCACTGAGGGTGTGTCCTTGCCTCCCTCTGCTTCCTGGTCACCAGAGGTCAGCAGCTCTGCCTCACTATGGCCTTCCACCATGATGCCTCACTACAGGTCCAGAAACAATGGAGTCAGCCAATCATGGACTGTAACCTGTGAAATTATCAACCAAAGTGAATCTCTCCTCTTTTTTAACTTGTTTCTCTCAGGTATTTGTCACAGTGATGAAAAACAAACAGTGGAGGAGTGGAAGACAGAAATACGTAGCAAAATTAAAAGAACAACAATCACAAGTATAAACCTAATTGCTCTTTGAGAATTACTGTATGTCACACGTTGCTCTACATGCCTTATTTCCAATGAAGCAATTCTAGAGATAGTTTAATTTTCACTTTCTTAATAAAGAAATTGAGACACAGAGATGGAGCATTTTGTCCAAGTTCTTGAATAGGAAACGGTAAAAACAGTAATGTAGGCAGCCTGACTCAAGGACATATAGCATTAACACTGTATATTGAATATTGCACTGTATTCATATAATTACATAATTAGCATCTTCAAAAAACAGGAAACAATTTTGCCCAAAATTCAAAGCAAATGATTTCTAAGAGTACTTGATGATGATTTTATGTGACCTAAAGTATGTAGTTCTTCCTGTGACAACCATTTTCCTTGAGGCTTTTTAAAATATATATTTATTTACTAAGCACCTGCTATGTGCCAGGCACAGATCTAGAAGCTGGTTATAGAATCAAAAGATTTTAAAATGTCAGCAACAGACACCAGATACATTCTACGCCAGTGGTTTAGAACCTGACTGCATGCTAGAATTACCCAGGCAGCTCTGCAAAAGCACTACCACCAAGGCCCACCTCCAGGCCAACTTAATGAGAATTCCTGCACACAGAACTTCCTAGGGACACTAATGTAGAATCAGCCTTGATGCTAAGAAAAGTCAGGGTTATAGAAGTAGCCTACAGAACTAGAAATTTTTTAAGTAAACTTTGTCTAATTTTCAAAAATACTTCAATTGCATCACTAAAATTGTTCCAGGCAGTTGGAAATTTTTTTCATTCAATAAATACTCCAGAAGAGACTGATAAATAAGAAAAAAATAGGGAAGAAAGTAAATAGTCACAGATACAAACAGAAGTGTTGCTGTAACAGAGCATCTGGAAGAGTTAAATGCGTTCTTGTCATATAAATGATGAGAGCATAATCATTCACCAAATCTGAACTTTTATGGACAAGTCAACAGCAGCAAAACTGAAAGAAAAGTGTTAGATTTGCAATCATTCAAGACCGGGTTCAAATTTGCCACTTTGAATCACTGGCAAACACCCATCCTTGGAAGCCCTAGCTCTGCATCTGTACAAAAAGGGGTAGATAATTCTTCATGTGCTGATAATTAAACAAACCATGCAGGTGAATGCTTCTAGCACAGTTGATGGGGTAATTCATAAATAATAAGTCCATTCCTTTCTTTGAACATAATTAAAAAAGAAATTAACAACCCAACAAACTCTACCAGCTACCTAATTCAGCCCATGTTTTATTAAAAAAGACAAATGCTGAGCAAGGGACCATTTTTACATCTAATCTATGGATGAGGATCTCCTGGAACTCTGACTCTTGTTTGCCTGCCAGACCTGAGGAACAGGGAATTTTCTTCTGCTTCTCACTTGGAACACTCAGCAGAGCTTCCTCACCTCTCATGAGTATTGTGTGTCTGTGTTTTATGTCTGATTTGCAGCAAGCTTACTTCAGATACTCACTATTCCTTCACTGCAGGGTGGTGATACAGGAGTGTGGGAGCGTCCACCAATACTCGTGCTGAAATGCTGCATTCATTCAAGCTCTGAAGCAAGTGTCCTTGTAAGGTCAGAAACAACTGCATTGGAAGCCTTCTGTGTTTCAAGGGATGCATTTCCTCAATGGATCCAACTAGATCAGTTTTGAGGTATGTTCATCTTTTTAAATCAATTGTTCCGAGGACATTGCTAAGTGCCTTCCAGAGCGGCAATACCTTCCTGTTTATTCAGTGACTAGGAAAATTGACTCTTTCAAATTTAATTTCAACAAATGCTGCAGAATGTTCCTACTGTGTTCAAAGGACAATACTCAGTAACACAGAGAACAAAATGATGAAACCAGCATTGGCCCACCACAGGGAAGAGGCACATGTAAAATTTGAATAATTCTACAACACAGGCCACCACAGGAGATAAGCAAGAGGTTCTACTCTAGTCCCATAAATTGCATATAATTCAATTGAACCTTTCAGATGGCATGCCATAGGTTTTTCTGGAAAGAGAATTCCATGTTGTAAAAAATAAATCTTACTGCAAACAACACTTCCTAAAATATGTCCCACAGGACGCTAGGTACTATGCAAAATAAACAGAGGTGAGTTCACATGAGGAAAAAAATTTGAGGACATACCAAGTTAAGCAAAATTAATAAGTATTTTTAATTGCACAATTTCTCAGCACCTTTAACATATGGACAATGTACTATAAACTCTCCATGAAGTAGAGCTGATATAGAGCATTTCCCAAACTTTGTTTTTGGGATTTTTGTTGTTTTGTTTTTGTTTTCAAGCATTTTTTAGGGTTTGGGTACTTTAGGACCTCATTTTGAGAAACACTGGACTGAAGTGTAACCACAATATATTGTCTGTCCAAGATTCTCACAAACGAGCTTTGTAACCCTTTGATGGAAGAAGAGTAGGTCATCTGACAGACCAGGGGACTCTCTCTGCTGAGGTCAGCAATCTCAAGCTCTTATAAAGCCTTGGTGATTCTTATGGAAAGTAAAACAGCTTTTCCCGTGCTAACCACGGCTGGTTATACCCATTGAAAACCAATTAGAACACAATTGCATTTAGTTCTGTTTTGAATATTAGGTCTTGCAGTATAATTCTCCAGCCTAGTTTTTTTTTTTTTCCCTTCTGTCTGATATGTAAGTACAAAACAACTTGAAATGGACAAACCATTGGCCAATTCAGTCAAAATAACTAATCAATCAATTCAGTAAATTGGGAATGTTTAAGAGTTAATATTCCAAAGAGTAACTTTAAAACAGCTAATGCTGAAGACTTATATTCAGTTTAGAGGAAGTATAAACAAAGAGGCTTTGAATCTACTGTGTCATGAATGTTAAGAATCATTAGTGTGAAAATTGTTTTCTACAAAAACATCCTTTTAGAAAAACAAACTAACATTGGCCATAGTACACATAAAACTTTAAAACAACAAAAACAAAATTCTGCACCCAAACAAAACAAGCCAAAAACCTACCCATTTTAGGACACCTTATGCAAAAAACATTTCAACCCTGACATGTTCTAGTTAGCATCTAGCTGCCAAGTTCCTGACAAAACTGTGCCTTTGAACAGTGGACTAACAGTGGACTCTGGGGGAGAGAAACACACTGGCTCACATCAGAAGGGCAAAGAAGAGTGGTAGACCAATGCAGAGTAGTTGTGGGATTTGCCAATGGGATGGTCTCAGCATCTAGGCCCCAACCAGAGCCCTGTCCACCCAGACAAACCCCAAACGACCCGGCACGTACTGCAGTGAGCCTCGTCGCTCCAGTCATCACAGTCATTGTAGCCGTTACATTGCAGTTTCCTGGGGACACAGATTCCGCTGGTACACAGAAAGCTCTCGCCCCCTCCACAAAGCACTAAAAAAGAAAGAAAGGGCGGGGCAGGGGCAAAACATAGGTCAGCATATGGGTATTTTTTAAAAATTATTATTCCTTTAAAATTCGAAGACAGAAAAATAAAAAATGGGAAATTTCCCTTGCCACTTAAAAGATGTCTTTCCAAGTTCTCTCAATCTCATTGTCACGATGTTTCCTTGGTCCTTCAGAACAATTGTGGAGTTACCTGGGAATTATAAGAGGGCCTGCCTGGGAAAAGCAGGAGAAAATTTTCCAACGAGCTTGCACAGAGTGACACAGATACTCTGGGCGCAGGAATTTAACCTAATCAACTGCACACTTTTTGTGGGGAAATATCACGAATGGGAGTGTTTTTCTTCACAATTAAAAATAATGTCAAAATTAAGTACTATTTATGGAGTGAACAAAAAAAAAATCCTCTCCTTCTAAAATGCTGCTGTCTGCAGTAAAGAGAAAGTTACAGTACAAATAGAGTCAGTTAACAGGCTTGTGCTAGAACAGAAGCATACAGACCCCATGCCCTGTATTTGAAATAAAATAACTTCCCTTAACAAAAAATGCCAGTTAAAATGTCAGAGTCTGTCGGGCATAAGGAGTGTGAAATGACATTAGTTAGTAATATTCTCATTCTTCCCCCGCCACACAGTTACACAGTTATATTTTGGTTTCTTTGGCTTTTAGTATTATGGTGCTCCCCCCGCGCCCCAAGTTCAATAAGTATTTCATTGCTTTAAAATTACAGTAGATAATAAATTTAATATAAAACACCTTTTTTATTTTCATTTTTGAGACAGGATTGTATCCCAGACTAGGCTGATACTCATGACCTCCTGCCTCAGCCTCCTGGCAAATGCCTTTTAAATTTACCTAATCTTTCTTTTTTTTTATTTTGTTTGTTTGTTTATTTTTGATGTCACGGTTATTATTGTTGTACTGGGGGTACATTATGACATTTACAAAATTTCCTACAATGTATCATAGTTGAGTTACCCCTTCCATCATTCTGCTTTATCTCCCCTCTCCCCACTCCTTGGAACAGTTTCAGTAGGTCTCATTTTTCCATTTACATATATGTGTACACAATATTTGCACCATATTCACCCTCCTACACCCTTTACCCACAACGCCCACTTCCACTGGTACCAATCCCTCCAGACAGGACCTCCTGGTCTCTGCTTTTTGTTTAAAAAAAAAAAATGACATTTTCGTTTGCTTAAGATAGCTATACAAGGAGTTTCCTTGTGACCTTTCCATGTATATATGCATTTTAACCCAAATTGATTCATCCCCTCTATTTTTCTCCTTTCTACCTCTGTCCCCTTCCTATGGTGATTTCAACAATTTAAAAATCTATATTCATTCTTGTATAGGAAGTACATCTACCCAGCAATCTTATTTCTTGGACTTAATACAAAGGAAACCATTATTAATACAAATAAGTTTTATTCCTAAGGATATTCATATTGTCATTGTTTATAACAAGGAAACTATGAAACAACAATTATGCAATAGTAGGGCACTGGTCAAATAAATTTGGTACCTCCATAATAAGTATATTGTAGAAAATATTCAATGCCCTGGGACAAAGTTCAAAATAATTTAAGTGGAAAAACACCAATTGGCTCTAAAGAACATAATACGATTAGTCACAGGAAGAGGTATATCAAAGACTACTGTAACTATCCCTGGTAATAAGATTAAAGGCAGTTTGTATTATTTTAGCCTTATTTTACTCTGTAATTAGAAATGTTTTTGTAATGATTATGTATTACATTTTTAGTCAGGAAAAAAACCCTTAACTTTTTTCATGAGCTCCAGTTTTAGAATAACAGTAGATAAATAGAACATCTAAAATCTCTCTCTCTCTCTCTCTCTCTCTCTCTCTCTCTCTTCTCTTTCCCTCTCCCTGCCCCCTTCTCTTCCCTCCCTCTGCCAAAGCTAATGTTGGGTTGGTTAACTGTGTGGTGTGGTAGGTTGCCTGGTCTTGACCACCATTCCCTAAACTGTGTAGTCCTAGATCAGATGAATTTGGTACTAAATAACAGGAACAAGGAGATACAGGACACTTTAACACCAATTTAGAAATACAGAAAATTACAGTCTGAAAGATGCAGGTGGTATGACCATGTCTGTCCTATTCCCACCATGTTCCTAGGACTCAGCAGAATGACTGACATCCAGGAGGTTCCAAATTAATATTTGATAGGAAAAGCCACCTAAATCTCCAGTAGGATAATATATTGCCACAAAGCAAAAAAAAAAAAAAAAAGAAGAAGAAGAAGAAGAAGAAGAGAAATCAAGGCATTATTTTTCAATGCTATCAAAGATATCCATGTTTCCACTTGCTGAACATTAACACCTAGTAGATTTGGCAAATTTCACAATATTAGTAATAAAAATCTAGTTTTCCATTATATCCTATGATTTCAGAATCAGTACAGATTACATCAATGGATTTCAAGTGCCAAAATGTTCAACATACTTAATATGTACAGTGTGAGGGAATACGCCATGGGTCTAGTCCCATAGCTACAGATACAAACTCCTAAAGGCTACACAGGAAACCAGATGTAAAATGAAAGGCCAAAGCACTAAAATTTGACAATCTACACAATATCCTCTCTCTAGGATTAAGAGAAAACTGCAAAGGAGTGTTTATCCTATTGTGAGATTGTTTATTATATGTACTAGAAAGTAGGAAAATTCCATATATCTGCATTTCATCAGCTGCAATGGCTCAAGAATATTGCTTTTCCCACCCATGGTTCTGCTGAGTTCTCAGGAAATGGAGCTGAGAGTGCTACATTAAATAGCTCCCAACACCTACATTTCTTGTTAAGACCTTGTACATGTGACCTTAGTAAAGCAGTTTTTTGTGTATTGTCCTCATAAATCTGGATCAAATTTAAAACACAGCACTGCTTGCACTCTTTTGATGATTGATATCTTGTGTCTTGTCTGATTCAGCAAAAAAGTGACTTATTTTGTATGGTTCTGTATTTGGAAGTAGGGCTGTCCTTAGTTTTAAGACATTGGAAAAATTTTTTATTCTTATTCTGTCTTTGAAAATTCATAGTTTCATTAATCAATATTATTCTTGGAAAATAGAATAACACGTATAATCTTTCTGTTTGATTTCTTTTTAACTTGAATCCAGAATTTCCCATTTATTTGTATAAAATGTTTCAATTAACAAGGTGTACAAACATCTTATTTGGAATTTATAACAGCCCCATAAAGCAGACAGGCAGATATTCTTCTCCCAATATCCTTGGCGAATGGTACTTTACAAAAAGAGGAGCCGAAGTAGCCTGTGTTAAGACAATAATGACCAAAAGCCATTATTATCAAAGGAAAATCACCCCAGAATCCTGTGGCCTGGGTTCCTGGCCCAGTGCTCCCACTGCCATGCTTTTGGGACATGGGCAACATGAGTCCAATTCAAGGATACCAGGTTTGAACAAAAGTTCAAGCTTGTCTTTATTTTTCTCTCTAAACAAAAGACAGATGTCTGTCTTCAGGTGAACTGGATCCAGATGAAACGGCATTCCATGTCAGCTCTACACTTTTTTGGAAAACATCCTAAGGGAGCTCTTAACAAGTTTCTGCAGAGATTTTTTGACCATAAATTTCACTGTCTTGTAACAATGGTCTTTAAGGGGCTTTTGAGTTAGCCTGTAGATGATAAAGGGAGATCCCTGAGATGTCAGACTGTACAATATTGACACCATTTCCTATGTCCTACAGGAATATGTTGAATTCTAAATTGATGGGAAGATTGATCAATGGAAGACTCATTAATTAACTGAACAAATACTTACTGAGTGGCTAGTATGTGTAGGCACTATGTAGTCCTTGGAGATACAGCAGTGAAGAAAACAAAAGGAAAATTCCCACCTTAATGATCATCATTTACTGATGATCTACTGATTATCATCTCATGAAAAAACTTCTACTCAATAAAGATGCTTTACCCCCAAGGTCGACATCATTTACACACTGGACAATTAGTTAATGCTACTGCAAGAACAGCAGTGCTCAGTTGCATTTCCTGAGATACTCATTTACATGTCCATGATAGAGTTAATTACTAATTGCCTGGACCTCAGATTGTTGTGGTCTGATGAGTGTACACCTATGAGGATGATCAAGAAGTTTCAGCAATCTTGTCTCTGATAAGAGGCTGCTGAAATTACCTGGCATTTCACTGCAATTGCTTCCAGCCCCCTGGGTTCTCTCTGTTGGTGTACATGGAAGCATTTATATTTGAAAATGCTTTAATTACTCTGGTTATTAATTTTTGGAGTCTTCTTGTTTAGTTTTGTTTTTTGGTGGTATTAGGGCTTGAATTCAGGGCTTTGTGGCCACTAGGCAGGTGCTCTACTGCTTGAGCTATGCCTCCAGCCCTTTTTGCTCTGATTATTTTGGAGAAACAGTCTCACTTTTTCACCAGGCCAACCTGTACCCTGATGCTTCTATTTTATACTTCCCACAGTAGCTGGGATTACAGGCACTCAACTTTTTTCCATTGAAATGGGGTCTTGCTAACTTTTTTTTGCTTGGGCTGGCCTGGAACCTAGATCTTCCCCATCTCAGCTCCCACAGAACTTGGATGACAGGTACCACTGCACCTAGCTATTGGTTGAGATGGGGGTCTCACAAACTTTTTGCCTGGGTTGACCTCAAACTGTGATCCTCCCAATCTCAGCCTCCCAAGTAGTTAGGATTACAGGCATGAAACACCAGCACCTGGTTAATGTTTGGAGTCTCTTTCAGAAATTACCCATGAGGCACTGACTGTATGATGGCCTCATTTGCCCTGTCTTTGAGCCTTGCTTGAAGGTGTTTCAACTCCACCTTTGAAGAGAAAGCTGACCCAGCCTAGCACGTCCCTACTGTGCCTGTACTAGGAAACAGCCTGTCAGCATTGCATGCTACACACTACTTGAAACTAATTACTGTAAGCCACTATTGTTCCTACCTTTACACGGTTATTTGAC